GGCGTTCTGCACGCGGCGCTGCATCGCCGGCACTCCGCCGTCGACGCTCGTGGCTGCCGTGTGCAAGAAGCTGTGCGGCTTTTTGGCTCGCTGCGCCTGGCGTGCGCGTGGGACGGCGCGGCCGCAATGGCGGTGGGGCTCCTCACGCACGTGGGTGCGGAGGCACGGAGGCGCCTCAGCCGCGAGCCGCAGGATGGGGGCGTGGAGCCGTTCTTTTGCCTTCACCGCGACGCGCTGCGTGTCGTCGCCACACTGCGGGGCGCACTGCCGCCTCAGCCCGCCGCGTACCAGCACTCGGCGTACGCAGCGTGCGCCGCCCCGGCAATGAACTGCTACTTCGTTGCGGCGCCCATCCGCACGGAGAGGGGGACGACAGTTCCAGTGCTGGCGCTGCCTTTGCTCGATTCACGAGACAAGCGGCTGGGCCACCTTTTCTCCGCCGTAGCCGCGACGTTGGACCTCTTTGACTCCATGACGCCTGAATGGCAGGTACAACACCTGCAACTGGCCGTGACCGTTTCTGCCGCCGCAGTGACCGCCAGCGGCGTCCGGCCAGACGAGAGGTGCCGTCCAGGCCGCGTCGTCTCTCGCCTGAAGGAACTCTTTTCCCGCGCCGGGTTGCTGACGACGCACCCAACGGGCATGATGCGTCGTTTCTCGTCGCTTGGGGACGAAGGCGTAGGGTGCGGTGCTCTCTGGCTTTACATGGTGGTTCTGGCGACTGGCCTGTTTCCCGTCGCGTTGGAGGCGGAGCCAACAGGGCACGCCGCCGCGGAGGTGCTGGGGGAGGGAGTAGACAAGTGGCTGGCAGCTGCCTCTCCGAGCCATCGAAGGCCCTTCTGGGAGCTCATCTCAAGCCCGGCGTACCAGGCATACCTCGCCCTGGTGCCCTCGCCACAAAGTGCGACGGTGTCCGCAGTGGGGCTTGTTGTCGGCACTTGTCTCAGATCTCCGAGCAGCACGACGAGGCGGCGGCGGTGCTGCGGTTTCTGTATGCTCAGACGTGGCGCGGCAGCGTCATGCACGCCACGGCACATTTACTTGCGGATAGGCTGCTCAGCTTTCCTCTGCAGTTTGCTGTTGCCACTGCGTCTGCGACCGGCATTGCTGAGCTCTGCGCGAGCAGCTTGGGTCGCAGCGCGGCGGCGGTGGTGGTGATGGT